TGTTTTTTTTTTTTTTTTTTTATGGTTTGCAAATTTTCTTTTGTTGTATTAGTTTGATTGAATGACTGGGGTGCTTATGTTTGACTCTCGTGCTTTTGTTTTTACTTCTTTGTATATCATTATGTAGATATTGGTATTTGATTGTGCCTTTTTTTGTCTTGTTGGTTACTTGATTTTCAAGCCATTAGATTTGGCTTTTGAGGCCAATATATCATTTAGATGCATTTAATGTTTACGTCACCTTTACAATTGATTTTGCTGTCATACAATTTTTTGAACGTATTAAGCTTTTCACTGCTCAAATGAGAATTACAAGCAGGAAATTTCTCTGTTTTGTTTTTTAGACTTTCAGTTTCTTTCTCCTTTTCATATTCAAAGCGCATTGTAAGACTCTGAGATTTGTGTTTTAAGGTTGCTGACATGCATTTATGTGTATAAAGTTTAACAATTGAGGCATGTGGTTCTATATACTAAAAATGAAATTGCTAAGAAAATCCAGGAATCTTTGTTTCTGTTGAAAATTTTATTTCGGAAAATTCCTAAAGCAACTCTTCAGAACTTCATATTGCAGAGTCTTCTCTAGCCAATTCGATATGTAAGATATTTTCCAAAATTGTCAAAAACATTAAGCTCATGTTGAGATGAATAGGATGTTTTAATATAAAGTACGTCTGAAAATTCTGCTCTTTAATGTTACTTAATATTCTTTGTTTTCGTTCTTTGTTCTCGAGTCAAACAGTAAATTAAGGGACAGTAAACAGTTACTGTTTCCTTGTATTTATTATTACAGTTTACTAACGGATATACATGTCAATTTGCACATTGCAACAACTAACTTGGTATTGTCTTGAATTGAAAATTGTTTTTTCCTGATATGGGTGGAAATATGATTATCAGCTATCCCTTCAACTTATAAGCAAGTCCACCAGGATTAAAACTGTTTTGTAGATTGATTATTCCATGAGTGTGTTAGTGTAGATACATTGGTAACTTGGTAATCCTTTACAATTATAAAGTGAATAAATGTACAATTTCATTTCTGAAGTGATCTTATCTTCGTTGTTCTAGTTACGCTCTTCTTATCTTGAATTATCAGTTTTATAGTGAACCAATAAATTGTTTCAATTAGACTCTGCCAAGGTTATCAAATGCATCTGTGTAGGATTGACATCTAATATTCTGTTCGAATTTTGATTATAGATATTTTTTACAAGTCTTAACTTGATGCTTCATTTACAATTTTATTTAAAGGAAATAGGAAAAATAGCTAAGAAATTATGGAATAATATGTACAGGTAAGAAGGCTGTTGATGGGTTGAATCCCTGTCTAACGGAGTCTAATGGTGTTTTCAAAAATGCAATTGCGGCAGAAGACTTTCTATCAAAATTTAAAGGCACAAAACATGCAGCTGGTGCAACTAGCTCTTTTCCTCTTTCTGATTGCAAGGTTTCCCCACTCAAATTATCAACAAATAATATGGCCTCTGCTGAAAGCACTCCTCAAAACCAGTCTTCCAAGAATTTGGGTGAAAGTGACTCTGACGTGGATTCTCCTTGTTGGAAGGGAACCAAGGCTTTTTATAGAACTCCAATAGAAAATTCAGGATCTATACAAATCAATAATGTTGAGAAAGCAACAGAAAAACATAACAGTTTGAACCCTTTGGCTCCTCAATTCTTTCCTGGTATTGGATATGTTAAGGATGATTTTGGCTCTTCTAACTCCTGTGCGCCTGTAGCTACTAATTTGTTGTCCGGAGAGAACATGCTCTTGCAAACTGTTAGGGCTGAATCCCCGGTAGAACTGAATAAGGGAGTTGAGTTTCAGCCTTCTAGTAACACCTGTGGAAGAGAAAAGGCATTTCATATGCTTAATGATCCAAAAAATAGCTCTGTGGTGGATCCTGTGCTAAATTTGCATTGTATGGTGACACAATCTTCCTCTAAAGAAGATTACTTAATTTCAAAAGGAAAACTTGAAACTGTTGTAGATGTTGATAACCTCGTAAAGGGAACTGAAAATCCCAGGGTTAGTAGTTCAATGATTGATGTTTTCCCTGCAAAGGGTCATTCTCCAATTCCAACTCCGTCAATATTACCTTCTCGGGCTGGTGTTGTTACTGATCTTCTGAAAACATTTGAAGGTGTTTCAAAGTCTTTAATTAAATCTCCAAAACCTGATGTTGGGGAAACGGTCAGTGCAATGCATGTTCTTTCAGAGTTGCTTGTGCAAACATGTATCGATGGAGTTGACTCAAATAACGAATATGGTCATGATGCGATTATGATCCAGCAAATAATAAATAATCTGAATGATTTTAGCACAAAAAGATGTGGCCAAAGGATTTCAACCCTTGATTCAACTCCTGCAGATAATCCATTTTGTCCTGATAGGTCAATGGAGCATCCCAAGGTACGCATGAATCTATTTTATAGCACTTTATGCACGTCAGCTGCCTAATTGGACCTTTTTGTTTATATTTTATGCTCAATCTTTATTGAAAAATGTGTGCATGTTAACATTCCAGGGACTTGAGATGACAAGTATAGGGACCCTTAGTGATCCAAACCAGCTTTATCCACAAGATGATTGTATGGGAAAAAACAGAGTTTTTAAAATGTTCGGTCACGGTGGACAGATATTTTTACCATCTAGCAGTGAAGCCCAGTACAAAGGCAATGAAATTGCACAGGTACCTGTGATGATAGCTAGAACCGAATCAGGCTTTATGTTTTCCAAAAACTGAAAAAGAATGTTTGAATTATTGAAGCTTCAGGTCATTCGGAGAAGTCTAGGGAAAACACTGGATTTTGATAAACAAATGCACCCAGAGACTTTACTGTTTTTGAACTTATGGCTTGATACCGAAGCAGAACGCTGTTATAGGAAATATAGAACTTATCATTGCCTTATGGAAGCTGGTGTGGATTTAAATTGCACTACTGTTGCGGTATTTCCCTCGGCCCTAAAATCTTATAGCAGTCTTCTCTTTGCTATAATAGCTGTTAGCTGATCATAACTCTTACTATATTGAAGAATGTGTTGAAAAAAACATGTCAGAAAGTTTCTTATTAACATTTATCATATTTCTATTCTTAAATGAATATTGCATGGGAATCTTAACACTACCAAATAATCATGTCGTAATTTGCATACTAACCTGGGTGATGTATCAATTATGTACGTATTCTATTTTCAGGAATTGTTGAGCTAGCAATTGGTGGCTTGTAGATTTCAAAGAGACAACTGGGTGCTGTAATCGGAAATTGTAAATATCATACATATTTATTGTCAACTAATTCCGAAATGAGTTTCTCGTTGTACAAACGCAACTGATTCATGTGAATGCAATGTATTGAACTAATTTCGAGAGATTTTATTAATTTGTTTGTACTACGTAAAGAGTTCTATCATGTTACTTAATCTTGTTCTAGTTTGAATTTGGCAGAAATATGCATTGCGAGTCTAACAACGTTCAAATACTCATAATCTTTATTTATGTATTGAATTCTTTTTTGTATCTGCGCTAAGGTTGGTAACTTTTGAATGATCTTCTGAAATATGCAAATAGATGGTAGCTTACTGCTTTGGGGTTCTCTCGATGATCATTGAGTGACCTATATATCAACATTGCATAAGTTGGGGCCATTAGGTAAACGTGGTTAGTATCTATGCATAGATTATTTAAATCACCAAAACAAAATCTATGGCTAGTAAGATAAATGACATACATAATGAATGCTATATAATGGTTGTACTTTGGGTTTGGCTATGATAGAGAACATGATCTGTAGGAATAAGTCTAGGATAGAAACGCTCATTCGGCTAGTTTATTAGCAACTAACTAATCAAATATTATTATCAGTTGGGCTGGGACCCACTCCTCCGATTAAGTCAAATGCCTTACTTTCTACTGAATATTTAATTATTAAAGAAATGAAAATAAGGAAATAAATTGTTAGATATTATTTAAAAGTTTAAAACTTTTGAAAAAATGTACATGTGATTTATTTATGATGATATTATTTATGTTTATAATTTCTCATTCTTAATGAGAATCACTTCCATTTTATGTGTGACACTGACAGTATTAAATGAGATGAGTTTTTATGGAAGAATGAGAAGTCTCTTAATCTTTGAAAGATATATTTTTATCTATTAAAGTAATATTTGAAATTTGTTCTATCGACATAAAATTAATTCCAATGCTTTTCAATAAATAAAAAGAACATTCTTATGTAATTTTTCTCAATTTTAAATACCAATTTGTTTTGACTCTACAATACTCTAATACTAAAACAAATGGGCACTTAAATATTTTTATACTACTTACCTTAAATTACCGATTTTAGCTTTCATACCGAAACTAAAGTATATGGAAAAAATAATGTTGAAAGGAGTTCATATGGAGAATTACCTGCCTTAATCTATAAAGCTAAACAGCTAGGTTAATTACAGAAATTTGAACTAAATATTTTTGCTATCAAACTAATTGAACAATTGAACATTCACTGGATTGGATTTATATAGGTAGAGTGTTGCAGTTCTCACAAATGCTCCATATATTGATGGATTCAGTAATTGTTTCATTGAATCTACACTAATAGGGAACTATTTTCATTGAACTTCAGAGTGACTACCAAAGCTACACGAAGTTTGGTGAATTATATATTATATCAAGTGGACTACATCTTAATTCCTTAACAACCCTTATCACTGTTAACATGGTTGGTGTTGTTGTTGCTGGATTTTTGGATGCACTTAATGGAGGATTTAAATCTTGGGGACCACTCTTTGGAAAGGTTTTCTTTGCCTTCTAACTTCTAAGTAATTTTTAATCTCCGCCCATTTCTCAAGCTCTCTTTGGTAGCCAATAATAAATAAAATATTAGAAAGATAGCATTAAAAAAATATATTACTAACATTCTTTAATGTTAAAGATATGGATGATGATAATGATTTAAGCCACATTAATTATTTGTTGAAATATGTAGCATTTTAAAGTAAGGTCGCAAATGTAATTGTTGCTTCTTTTCTATGAGACAAATTTCGTGCGTAAAAATAAAGCGTTGATTGATTATGGGTTTGTTTAAATTTTTCTCTTAAAAAGTGCTTTTCTAATAAAAATAAATATTTTTTTAACCTTTAAACATATTTGTCTAAACTTCTAGTTTTAAAATAAATATTTTTTTTAAGGATTTAGGGTTTAATTTTTTTCAAGAACCAACTCCTATCAGTTTAAAAAATTACTTTTTATAAAAAGCACTTCTTTTTAAAAATACTATATTAAAGTTTAATAAAACAGACCTTATATCATTGTGAAGTAGTTGATTTTTCTTTCAATTGTTGTATTCGATTGTGACCCCGAACGATTTTAAAATTTTGCAATTTGTAAGATTTTTAACATTACCCCAATTTTAAAATCGTATACTTGAAAAAAAAATCACATAATTTTTTGTAAAATGGTGATAAGGCACTGCCATTAAAGGGTTGTCTCTTTCAAAATATCATACTACCTGGTATTAATTATACGTAATACATTTATTAAAATCAAGAAAATTAATTAAATTACTATAAATTTTAATTTTATTTTAAAGATATCCTTTATTTCAAGTGGTTATTAATTTAATGCAAGTTATAAGCAGTAATGGATAAGAAAATTTTAAGTTGTGCGCAATAACTCAACTAACTGTATAAATTTGTAATACTAATAATCTAATATAAAATGAAAATTAAAAGTGATATTATCTTATTATAATTATAGATATATAACTAAACAACCATTTAGTTATATTTTTTCTTCATTTTCTCATCTTATTTTTTATGATATTCATAAAGATAACTTTTTTATGAAAATGTTGAACGATAAAAGTGAAGCATGAACCTTGTAGTTGAACAATTATCTTTTCTTAATTTTTAATTATATATTATTTTTGTGTCATAATTATTATATTATTGTTTGATATATGCAATAAGTATTTTAATAATTATTCTTAACTAAAATATAAATCAGTAACAAAAACAAACACAACAGTAATTATAACATTCAAAATTGAAAGATTAAAAATTAAAACAAAAACAAAAAAATCAAGGTAATTTTTTTTAATAAACTAAATTATGTTATTGTTAATATTACAAAACCAATATTTTCATTAAAAAAATACAGCATATTAACAACAAAATTTAAAGATAATTCTGACGAGAAAAGAGTGAAGACAATTGTTTATTAGAATAAAATATGAGTAAAATACTAATATACAATATGTTAAATATAATGTGGGCAATTAAAATTAAAATAGAGTTTGTCCCATGTGTTTGCCGTAATTTTAAATTGGTATTTAAACGCATACTAAGTTGTTAATAATAATAATAAAAAAGTCGAAATGTTTCTTAATTAACAAATAAACCTTAACACATACGTCTAATCTCATACATAAAAAAGAAAATCTTATTGAGATGAATATTTTTAAAATTAAATTTGGTTGTTATACTTTTTAGACAATAATTAATTATTATATAATTAAAATTTGTTGAATTTTGTAATTGTAACACGCTAGAATGAAATTATTAGCATACATACACATGTATATGTTTGTAAAATTACGTAAATTTTAGACAAAACTGTGTTTATTTTATTGAAATGAAAATGATCTAACAACTAAATAGGTAAATAAAACACCCTATATAACTTCAAAAGAAACATAAAATATATCTCTCATGCATAAGATTTAAAATCTTAAATGACAAGAAAATAATAAATAGATGTCGTAAACTAATTAACAAAAACAAATGTTTCTCTTGCATGCTTCATTTTGTTGGGAAAAGAAGCCTTCAAACAGCGACAACGGAAGCATACACACAAAAATAGAGAAACAAAAACAAACTCCCTTTATCCATTACATGCAAATATCTATTTAGATTATCGATTTATTTCCCGTAATAAAATTTATCCATAAATATTTACAAGTATGATTTTTTTTAATCCATAACCTTTGACTTCTAAATAATGAGTTTGTTTGTTTCTTTTTGCTTAGCATAACATTTTTTTAAATTAAAACCTCACTACAAGGTTGGTTCTATCAAGGAAAAAAATAAATTAGAGTTCTATAAATATAAGTATTAAAATATATAAAAAAATATATTTTATAAAAAAAATAGACATGTATTTTTTATAAAAAAAATGTACATCTTATTAAATTAAGTGAATAATGTAGTTTTACTCATTTTAACCGTATGTAGTGTAGTTTTTATTTTTGAAACAGTTTCTATAAGTATTAAGTGTAGATTTTATTAAGTGCATTTTTATTTTTTATTTTTTAGATACATCAAATTTAGAAAGTGGATGTAATATGTTATTGAGTATAAATTTTTTTATTATAAAAGAATCCTTTATATATATATATATATATAGAGGAGGGTTCAA